AAGTTAAAGAGAAATGTTGTATCAAGAAAAGAAGTTGAAGAGAAGTGTTGTATCAAGAAATTAAGTTAAAGAGAAGTGTTGTATCAAGAAATGAAGTTAAAGAGAAATGTTGTATCAAGAAATGAAGTTGAAGAGAAGTGTTGTATCAAGAAATGAAGTTAAAGAGAAGTGTTGTATCAAGAAATGAAGTTAANAAAGCAAACAAACAAATAAGAAGTGAAGTTGAAGAGAAGTGTTGTAAAAAACAAACAAACAAACAAGAAGTGAAGTTGAAGAGACGTGTTGTTTTTGTTTGTTTGTTTGTAAACCTTGGGGCAGCAAGTGCAGCGCTGTGACGCGCGTCGTAGCACAGGTGTTCACTTACACGTACTTCTAACCAGAACACGTGCCAAATGTACATATATTTTGTGTCTAAAACATCCTTGAAACACAATCTCTTCAATTTTTCGAGTAAATTTATTTTTGTTAAAGGTTAAAAACAAGATTTTGACTGACTTTCTCAGTTTAAAATAATGTAAACGTTATTTAATACATGTTAAATAAATAATAAAGCGAGAGTTGAATACTAACTCACGTTAGTATTCATTGGCCAGCTGTTTGTACATTCACGGTGCTGTTAATGCTCCCATTACAGTGGTCGGGGCAGGGTGGCCCAGTGGTTACAGTTCAGAGTACCATACTTTCAAAACTCGCTAAGTTAACATAAGTACTTACACTCTATTTTCTTGTCTATGATTGGTGGATTTTGCTTGAAAGGCCGTCAATCATTGGCTGATGAACTTACGATCTCTTAACTTTTTTTGAAAGTATGGTCCCAGAGTACCAAGATTGGCGCAGAGAGGCGCGGGTTCGATCCCAGCTCTGTGCGCCAGTTTCTGGTCAGAATCGGCAAGGAGGCCGGGCGGTTAAGCACAGCAGAATTGTAGCAGTGAGTTGCGAGTTCGAGACCGCAAAATGCTGTGAATGTTCTGCGATGTTAAGAATCGGCGACAGCCCTACGGCCTACTAAACGCTGAAACCGCTATTATATATATTATTATTATTATATTATATTTGTTTTTCGCATCCAAGAACGTATTTCCTTCATAATGTTATTAAATTAATGCTCTATTGATTAGTTATTTTGGTGTAACAAACTAACGCTGCAAAAGGAGATAATTAATAATGAAGAATAGTAGGTATTTACTGAAAACTATGATTTAACAAATTCTAACCCATTCCCTGTTAAAATGTACTTTGACTGAACTGAACGAAGTTTAGGCAAATGCTCATTGATGAAAAAACTTATTTTTGAAGGGTTTAGAGCTCCAACAGCGAATAAGGCTGAAGAAATGTAGAGCATACATTTTTTATTCAAAAAATTCCGCTGTACAATGAAGCAATTCAAGGAACATTTGGATTGATTAAGCGTTATTTCGTCCCGGCCTTCAGATTCTAAGTCATTGCCCGGTGCAGGGTGATGACAGTTGACGGAAATTTCAAATTGTGTTTTAAATATTTTATTAGCTCAAAATCGTGTTCAAAACATGGTTCCTGCGAGACGTCCTGCTTCTTATCTAACAAATTTTCTGAAACTGTGACTGAATGTGATAGTAAGAAAACTATATTTATTGCACATTGCCCTATTTTGGTAGTGCGTCTAAAACTATGACCAGAGAAATAAAGATTTTGTTTATGAAATATTTCCCGAATATAAATTTGTATGTTTGCTGGTATATAATTTCAAAATTGATTCTTTTTTCAGATATAAGGTCTTTATTCATTCCCGGATGCGATCAAACCTGGTCTATGAGTTCAGTTGTGCGCGCTGCGCATTTGCGTACGTTGGAATGACGTCGCGTAACTTCTACATCCGGGTTTCTGAACACCGTGGCAGGAGCTATCGTTCTAACTTGCCTCTCGCCAAGCCTCCTCATTCTTCCGTGCGCCTCCATGCTGAACAGTGCGACGTGGCTGAAGGCACTCAGGGAACGCTAAGTTAAGGCACTCAGGGAACGCTAAGTTAAGGCACTCAGGGAACGCTAAGCTAACACCAGACAACGTTACACCGCCGCGTCCACCGCACAAGTGAAGAGCGGCGCCCCGCGGGGTGGCTATATCCACCCGCTATGGAGAGGCCCCACTAACCCCTCCCCACTGGGGGCCCCACTAACCTCTCCCCCCTGGGGGCCCCACTAACCCCTCCCCCCTGGGGGCCCCACTAACCCCTCCCCCCGCAGGTGTTGTGGGGAACTGGGTTGTGACGTGGCTCTTGAATCATAATTCTTGTTGGGTTTGTTGATTATTTGCGACCACATAAAGTTTGTAAATTCGAAACTTAAGTTTAAGAAAAGTTGTGAACTTTACTAGTTGTAAATCATTGTCAATTGCTGCCAATTATTGTCAAATATTGTAAATTGTTGTCAAATGTTGTCAAAGGTTGTAAAATGCTGTCAAATGATGTCAAATCTTGTCAGTTGTTGACAATTGCTGTCAATTGTAGTCAATTATTGCCAAATTTTGTCAAATGTCAGTTAATGTCAATTGTTGTCAATTTTTGTTAAATATTGTCAATTGTCAATTGCTGCCAATTGCTGGCATTTGGTATCAAATGTTGTCAAATGTTGTCAAATGTTGTCAAATGTTGTCAAATGTTGTCAAATATTGTCAAATGTTGTCAAATATTGTCAAATGTTGTCAAATGTTGTCAAATATTGTCAAATGTTGTCAAATGTTGTCAAATGTTGTAAAATGTGGTAAATTGTTGTCAATTGTTGTTAATTGTCGACATATGAAGAGTAATTTATTCATTATCGGATAACAGGCAATTTTTTAACATTGTTCAGAATAATTAATTTTTAGAGTCGTTTCTTTCCTTTTTCGTGAACGTTTTTATGAAATTAAGAACAATCAAGCGAAGAGTTAACTTCTGAACAAATTTTAACCAGTTTTTCCAAAAATACTATTGAAAATTTTGTTATTTTAGTAACTATTTTATAATACAGTATTAAAAATAGTCTTTTTGACTATATAATTCCTAATAATGAATAGTTAATTATGTAGTATTAATGATAAATAATTTGATATATTATATCAAACCATAATCCATTATTCCTAATATTAATAATGTTCATAAAAAATTTAAAAATAAAAATTCAAACGGAAGTTTTTTGCACAAAGAAAAACTCACTAACCTTGAGGTATGAAAGTTTTCAATAGAGAGAAAAAAAACGCACGTGGCAGACTTGCGAACATTTTTTGTTTAGAAAAAAAGAATCCTGATCATCGATCCAAACCCTGGACACGTGATTCATTCGTTCCACTTTCGAAAAAAAAGTGAAAGTGGCCAGTACCAAAGAAAGGATACGTGTTCAAAAGATCTGAAGATGGAATAGAAAGTTTGTATGAACTTTCATAGTCAAATTTAAAGCAGAAAGCTCTCATAATAAAATAATTAAACTCAGTACTCACTGCAGTGAGTGACAGTGAGCGCATTTTCTCGTCGACGAAAACTTGAGGTCACGGACGGACGGACGGACGGACAGACAGACGGACGGACATGACGAGCACATAGTGCATTTTTTCCATAGATGAGAAAATGCGCTAAAAAGAGTCTCCTTGGGCCATTTTCGAAAAGCAAGTGAAAGTCGCCAGTACAAAGGACCGACCAGGTGTTCAAAAGTCGCCAGTACAAAGAGACGGACACGAGTGCAAAAAATCTATTGATGGTATAAAAAGCTGGCAAGAACTTTGATACGCAAAACGCTTTCATAGCGATATAGAATATGAATGTGACCTGAATTTTGACACTGAGCTGTGTGGGTAAAAATGAGTAATGAATACATGACTCATACGTGAAGTTTTTTTATTAATTTTGCTTAAATTAAAATTTTTACATTTAAATTTAAATATAGGAGGTTTGTTCATCTGAATTCTAGGAGGTTGATTTAATTTAATTCTTGGAGGTTGATTTAATTTAATTCTAAAAGGTTAATTGTATTTTTATCTGGGAGGCTTATTGGATTTATTTCTATATGGTTAATTTAATTTATTTCTAGAAGGTTGATTTAATTTATTTCTAAGAGGCTAATTCAGTTTATTTCTTGGAGGTTGATTTAATTTAATTCTAAAAGATTAATATAATTTATTTCTGGGAGGTTGATTTAATTTATTTCTAAAAGGCTAATTCAGTTTATTTCTTGGAGGTTGATTTAATTTAGTCCTAGGAGGTTAATTTATTATTAATCAAAAAGGTTAAATCTATCAAATTATAGGTGGTTGGTTTAATTTCATTTTATTAGGTCGGTTTATTTTCGTTATTTTAGGTTAATTCAATATAATTCTAGAAGATTAATTAAACTTAGCTCGAGGAGGGAAATTTAACTTAGTTCAAGGTGGTTATTTTAATTTAATTTTAGAAGGTTAATTTAGTTTGCTATTGTGATTTTGATTCAATATAATAATAGGAAGATTGTATATTTATTGTAGGACGTAAATTTAATTTTATTCTTAGGGAGGTAACTTGTGCCTGTAAATAGGGAGGTATTTAGTACCTGTAAATAGTTACCTCCCTATTTACAATTAAAAACCACTTTAGTATGTAATGTTAAAAAATATTTAGCGTTAGACAAGCCACTGAGAAGTAACTTAAATGTTCAACGCAAAGTCCGTAGACTTAAGCCGACTTGTCGCTGGGCAGAAGCTATATACCTAGTACCTAGCAGGCATCGCTACCTAGGTAGCGATGCCTGCTAGGTACTGATGCCTGCTAGGTACTGATGCCTGCTAGGTACTGATGCCTGCTAGGTACTGATGCCTGCTAGGATGTCAGGAGGACTGGACGTTAACATGTGTTGTCAGGAGGACTGGACGTTAACATGTGTTGTCAGGAGTTCGTCGGTAAGAGGAAACCTTCATTAAGAATGTGGTCTCCAAGGAAGGCTGCCCTTCATCAACCTGTCCCAGATCTGCTTCTCTCTCTGAATACATTGTATATTTCATTTATCCCTATTACTTACTGCTACTTAATTTAAAAATAAGGAAACTGAGTTGCTCTGTGGGCTCGTTAAACTTACGCTGATGGTCGCCAGTTTGATGCCTAAGCTATCAACCTGCACATCGACATCTGCTTGAACAATATTTGCCATGTTGGGTAATGTAATGCGGCCATCAGATATTGGCGCCGTGAAAGTGCTGCCATCGTCCTGTTTCTTGATTGTCAGGTTTGTACCGGAGAGGACGCCACAGATGTCGTAAGGTGTCAGGTCAGTAGGCCAGTTGAAGACGACATCGTTCAAACCTATTTGGTGGTAGGGGTACAGATTTGCTTCTCCGAGTCCGTTGAGAGGTACTGTGAAAGAATGACATTCTTTATGAGAGGGTCGTAAAGCGAGTCTGTTGAAGGAATTATATGAATTATAACTAAGTTATAACTAAGTCGATTGATACACCAGGGCTCTAGCACCACTTGGTGAAAAATGTTGTCCGAATATGAGCCAAATATTCACGGCCAACACTGTAACTAGCATAATTCGTACCTAATATTGTACCTGGAATGCTTGGTATTACACTAGTCTACGGATGTGAAGTGTAGTTATACCCAGAGTTCAATTTTACAGCCTTCCATTTCTAGTTAGGTTATCATAACAGAATTCTAATTACTGATGAATGCTAACTATTTGGACCTATGCTAATGCTCTAATTTTGGGTTCTTACAATTTAACTGATACATATCATAGTGCCTTTCGCCGTCCGTCATCTGGGTGTACGTGATAACGAGGTAGGAAGTCAGGCAAATTTCAGGCACATCCGCTGTGTCGATCTCGATGGTGCCTTTTGGTTCCGATATGGGGAAGTTAAGCTCCGGACCCCGGCGCCCTGTCTCCGTGTATTTGATGCCAATCTCAATTTTGAACTTGGTGAAGCTACCGCAGCCAGGGGAAGCCTGTAGGGTCAAAGGTTGCAGAGTTAGAGGTGTGGTAAAAAGTTGGTATGGACAGTGGGTGTGCACAGCGGGTGTGGACTGTGGGTGTGGACTGTGGGTGTGGACAGTGGGTGTGGACAGTGGGTGTGGACAGTGGGTGTGGACAGTGGGTGTGGACAGTGGGTGTGGACAGTGGGTGTGGACNTCAGCGTTTGGACCCTAATTCTAACCCCTGTCTCTTATACACATCTAGATGTGTATAAGAGACAAAAGTAATGGCAGGGACTGAGGGGGTTGTGGAGTGCTGATGCAAGGAATTGGGCGCCTCTCATGTCTAGGTGTTCTTTCATAGAGAGGACTTTGGTTTCTGCATGACGTGACTGGATGGTGAGGTTCGGGTGCTGCCAATTGCGATTCTGAGGGCGGTGTTTTGTATGGTTTGCAGGTGTTTGTGAAGTGTGGGTGAAATTATGGGTGCCCAGGCTGGACTCGCATAGTCTAGCACTGAGCGTATGTATTGTTTGTACACTAGTGTGAGGGTTTCTTTGTTCCTCCCGAATGTTGTTCCTGTGAGGGCTCTGAGTGTGTTTAGCCTAGGTCTGCATTTTATTTTTATGTTCTGTATGTGTGGCTCGAAAGACATAGAAGTGTTGTAAGTGACACCTAGGATCTTGGTTTCATGTGTGTGTGGTATGATGGTTTTGTTTAGAGTGACTGTGGGTCTGTGTTGATGCTCCTTTGTGTGGCTTGTTAGTAGTGTGCTTGTTGATTTGGTAGAGGTTACTTTGAGTCTGTTGCATGCTAGCCAGCCCTCTAGTTGTGTGATGTAAGGTTGTACTTTTGTAGAGCAGGTGTTGGCATTGGTGTGTGTTGATGTAATTGTGATGTCGTCTGCGTAAGACGAAATGTAAATGTTGTCTGGTGGGGCTGGAATGTCGTGCATGTATAAGTTGAAAAGTGTTGGTGAAAGGACTGATCCTTGGGGTACTCCGTTCGGTATGTTTTTTGTGTGTGATGATATGCCATTGTAGTGAACGAATGACTGTCTGCCTGTTAAATAGTTGACAAGCCAACGTTTGGTGTTGTTATGTAGTGCTGTTTTATAGATTTTGTCTGTGAGTGGGAAGCGTGGGATGGCATCAAATGCTTTGCTAATGTCGATTGTGATCAGAAGTGTGCGATGTGCAGGTCGCTTGGAGTTAATGCCATCTTGTATACGTTGTGTGAGGTTAGTGAGGAGTGTGGTGGTGGAGTGATGGGTTCTGTAACCGTGTTGTGTGGGTGAGAGGGGAATGTGAGGCGTGGTTATGGAGCGTATGAGGCGCTCTACAACTTTGGATGGTGTGCAGAGGAGTGTAATGGGCCTGTAGGAGGCTGCCTCGGTAGGGGGTTTGTTCCGTTTCAGGAGAGTTATGATTTTGCCGGTTTTCCAGATAGAGGGTATGATGCAGTTGGCAAAATAAAAGTTGGCTATATTTGTGAGAGTGATGATACCATGCGGGCCGAGGTGCTTCAGATGAATGTTTGAGATGTTGTCTGGCCCCGTGGCTGAAGAATTTTTGAGCTGGTTTATGACGCGTGAGGTCTCTGATGCTGTGGCTGGATGTAGTTATTCCCTAGTGGAAATTTGTGTTTGCGCCTGTAAATTTGTCTGTCTGCCCTGTGCTTGGGTAGGTGACTGATGTTGGCATAATAATTTATCAATATGTTGGACTGTTGTTTGCGGGAAGGGATGGTATCTGAGGAGGTAATTGCCGAATGAGATGGGGTGAGTCCACTATTGGAGTTAGTGAGGCTGCGGATAGTTCTATATAGTTTGGAGGAATCGGTCCTGTGGTCTAGTGTCGCCACGAACTCTTCCCAGCGTTTCTTCTGTCTGTTCCTTATAGAGGTTTTGATTTGTTCATTCAGTTCGTGGATGTGGTCTGTAGTTGCCTGTGAGTGTGGTGTTGGTGTGCATCGTAGGTTGTTGCGTGTTCTGATGAGACGGGAGATATCAGGTGTGAAATTAGGGTTGTACTTTTTCCTGTTTTCCTTGGGGACATATTTCTTATCAACTTCGGCGATGATGGTGTTGAAGTGGGTGAGGGTGTGGTCGATGTTGGTGATGGGTTGTGTGTTCAGCTCCTGGAAGCGGACCTCCGTTTCCCAGGTGAATTCTTCCCAGGAGCTTCTGTTGTAGTTGCGAATGGTTTGTGATGTGTGGAAGTTGGTGCCTTTGGTGGAAGGCAGTGTGATGATAATGGGTAAGTGGTCAGATGAGAGGTCTGTTTCTGCTCTCCAGGAAATCCTGTGTGATAGTAATGGGGAGCAGAAGGTGATATCTGGGGAGGTGGATCTATATAGAGCCTGATGTGGTATGTGCGTGGGAGTGAGTGTGTTGTTTAGGATGAAGAGCAGATCTAGTTGGTTACAGATCTCTACCCCTCGAGCAGTGGTGTCTTGTGGGTTGTACCAGTCTGTATGCTTTGCGTTGAAGTCACCTCCAAGGATCAGGTCTGGTAGAGCATTTAATGCATGGAGTGTGGGAGTGTAGCGGACCGGTAGACCCGGTGAGTGTTCTGGAGGAATGTATATGTTGATGAGGGTAATGTGTTTTTGTGACCTGTCTGGATGTGAAATGCCTGTAGTTCCGTGTGCCTGTCTACTTGTGCTAGAGTTCTGATATGCTGAGTTTTCTCCAAGTAGGCAACACTGTGGTGAATGTACGTAATCAATCCCCCACCCTCCCCGTGCTGCCTATCCTGTCTGATGGCAGTGTAGTTTGGGATGGATGGTGTCTTGTGTGAGTGCCTAAGCTTTGTCTCTTGTATAATGGTGACGTGAATTTTGTTGGAGTGCATGTATTATTTGAGTTCAACATGCTTGGTGCGTAGGCCGTCAATGTTGAATTGTAGGATGTTAAGGTTTTGATGGCGGGTCGGTGGTCGATCGGGAGGGACTGGGCGAGGCGGGGAGGGAGGCCCAGGCAGGGGGCGAGGTGGCAGCGGAGGAGCCAGAGGGCGCACCGGCACCTGGGGAGCCGGCGTATGCTGTTGGACTTGCGGTGCAGATGCGATGGTCACAGGGCGGCACAATGAGCAGCGCCAGTTGCTGGTATGGTGTCCAAGGGTTGAAAGCAAGGTGCACGTGAGGTGGAACCAGCTTCCGCAACTGTTGCACGAGACAGATCCCCTACCCCAGCGAGCAGATGTCACACGCTTGGTGCAGGCAGGGCAATAGGCGATGGGGCCCGGGTTTAGCCCGATGTCACCACCAAGCAGGATGAGAAGGTACAGGGACCTGGTAGCCGGGTCTCCAAGTCCTCCATCAGCAAAAACAGTTGGTCCAATCCACCCGGGTAGCGCCTCCCAGGACGCAGAACTCTGGGGAGCCATCTCCCCACGGCTCCCCAGTGAGGTTGAAGTGGGGGCGATTTGGCCCTCCCTGAGGGGTCTCGCCACGACGCAGACGCGCCCCCAATAGCGAGACACGGGGACAGTAGTGGCGGCCAGTACAACACGGGGACAGTAGTGGCGGCCAGTGCAACACGGGGACAGTAGTGGCGGCCAGTACGACACGGGGACAGTAGTGACGGCCAGTACAACACGGGGACAGTAGTGGCGGCCAGTACAACACGGGGACAGTAGTGGCGGCCAGTACAACACGGGGACAGTAGTGGCGGCCCGTGTTGTAGTGGCGGCCGTGTTGTAGTGGCGGCCCACTACTGTCCCCGTGTACAAGCACTTTTAAGGTTGTAGGTAATCTATTGGATCAGAAGCTTTCGTTTGATGAAAAAAATTTGCCTCCGAGACTGCCTGTTCTATACAAATGAATAATATATCCACATGGAGCAAAATGATCATAAGAATAAGTAAATAAAGATATATCTACGGCCTTACGTCGTAAGTTATGATGATGGTTTTGTTCGGGAAGAAGTTGGCTTCCATTGTGTATCCCGGCACCACATTGAACGGCCAGCTGTTCTGAGGTGCTGCTCAGTAGAAGACAACTTAGTGGTAATATTGGCCTTGTGTGTGTCATCCTGACCCAGGGTATCAGTGCAACGGACAGAAAGTGGGTCAGTGTTAGGACATTATTATGTCCAATTATTATTAGGTATCAAAACACATTAGTTTCCTAACACTTGACCCATTCATATATCTAAACTTGAACTCCGGAGTATGCACGAGTTGAATACCAATTCAATCAAATCAGATGGAAACATTATGAACAAATTTTTGGCCTTATATGAAAAAATTAATTTATATGTTCACACGTTGAGCTAAATCATCTCGTGTTATTCCAATATGAATTTCCCCTAAAACTAAATAGTTCAAAACAAAGTACGTGGTCCTAGAAGAACTACATAGTCCAAAACAAATCTACATGGTCCAAAACAAAGCTATATAGTCCGAACCTAAACTAAGTAGTCCAAACAAAGCTACATAGTCCAAACAAAGCTACAAAGTCCAACCAAAAATAAATAGTCCGAATCTGAGCAACATAGTCCGAACCCAAGTTACATAGTACCCAATTTCCGGTATTTGATGGCAGTAGATTGTGTAAATCTACTACCATTTGTAGTACCTGGCTTGGTAGTCGCCACCGTCTGGGCGGTGGTACCGAACTTCTCTCCGGTGGGGAGACCGAAGGAGACGGTGACGTTTGCGCTGCACCCTGGGACGTTCTCTATCGTCGTCTGGGACGAAGTGGTTTCGACGTACTTCTCCTGGCCGGAGAAGCTGACGAAGAAGCCGGGGTAGTTGCAGCCACCATCGTTTGCAGTCCACGTCACGTCGAAGTTGTTATTCGTACTCGCCGTCAGGTTCGCAGCCACCGTCAACACTTTGAAATTTCCTGCTGAAAATAGAAAGCAACGCGTTTATTTAGAAGAGTTGAAGTGGTGGATTTTTTACATTGGTATCCAGTCTTCGAAATTAAAGTTAGGATGGCTGCAGCAATGAACCGCACCCGCCGTCACTGGACTGGACCAAATGTGGGCAAAATGACTTGCGAGAATTTGCAAGAAGACCTGACTGCGAACTAGTCCAAAGTTCACCTCTAATGTGAAGCAGCGGATGAGTAGGGATAGAAAACAACTACTTGGTCCCGGAAGGGCACAGAAATTGCGGATGAGGCAATTTTTCACGACTGCTGCGCTGTGACGTACTAATGACATGTTTGGTGACGTGTAAGAGCAAAATCTGCAAGAAGCAGGCAAAATGTAATGTACACGTTCAGAACAAGAGAAGCGGAACTGATGATCACGCTCGTCAAAGCTCTTGTGATCCTTCTCCTTGAGGTCTGCTACCAGCTGTGGGCCCCGTTAACGTTTTGGCAGTGCTGTCATTAGAAGCGGTCAAGCGAATCTTCATGCGAAGGAGCGACATCTTCAGGATACCAAAATGTCACAATGGGAGAAGACACTGTTTACAACACTCCGGCCGACAAAAATCTTGGTTTATGAACTCAGTTTGCTAAAGCAATCCATTTCCATGGCGGGATCAAGGCTGTTTTACGTCTTGACTAAGGAGATAACATGAGCAGGAGTCGTTCTCCCTGGAGGCCCTCAAGAGACTGGACTTGCTACTAGGCACAATCAATGATCACACGGGGTTGGCCAGAGAAAAAGACAACGTAGCTGCGAGGCCTGCGACTGCAATGTTCAGAACCCCTCACACACACCCCATCCCACCCATCGTAACTGGCCGGGATCAGCGAATAACGGTGGGATGGACTAATCCATCGCAATCACCGAAATTGAGCTCGACCAGAGGCGTGTTGGACTAATGAATCGCACCCATCGAAATTGGGCTCGACGAAGGGTGGGTTAACCTAATCTATCACACCCACCGAAATTGGGCTCGTTCAGAAGAGGGTTTGACTAATTCATAGCCCATACCGATATTGGGATCGACCGGAGGTGGGATGAACTAATCCATCTCATCCACCGAAACTGGGCTCGACCAAAGGTGGATTTCACTATTCCATCGCACCCACCGAAATTTGGCTTGACCAGAGGTGGGTTGGCCTGGTAGATGGCTATGTAGTTTGCCGCTGCTGCCTTCTGGTCGGCACATGCATGACTCGGGACAGTTGCGTTGTAGGTGGAGCAGGTGGTACCATTGAAGGACAGGGTGGAGTGTCCTGCAAACGTTGCGGCGGTTAGTAAAGATATTATTCCATAGAAGCATTGGTAAATTATTATTGCATTCCATTAATACTTGGTAAATGGCAGTTTCTGCGGCGGTAACAAACGGCAGTAGCCAACTCACCGGCTACGGCGGCAGCGTTGACGCAGTCCCTGAAGGTGACCGCGCTCGGCTGGGAGCTTATGAAGCATTTCAATATCTCCGGGTGAGTGTATGCGCGGTTATACACGATCCCCTTCTTAGACTTGATGGACTGGAACACGACCGACCTTTTGGTTTTCTTGCACGATGCCATGGAGCCTTTGGGGGTCACAAGCACCTGTAATCATTAAAATGTGAATATGTACCAGAATATTGATGTTGGTGACAGTACACAGTTGAGACAGTTGCTCACAAACAAACTTGTGGTGGCACAGCAAAGCCTATATTTCATGAATTGGAATTGTAGCTTAAATGTTAATAAAATCTCAACTAGAAAATATGTTCAAAAAATTAATTTTAATTAGACGCGTGTGATGGTCGTTTCTACTCACATCAACAGCAGGGCCTGGAGGCAGGCTCGCCTGTGGGCAGGAAAAGGGTTAATTCATCCAGCATTAGCAATCGCAGATCAATAAGCAACTTACGATTTGTCAACTTAACATTTCACAAGCAGTGAAATGTTAGATGTTTTGTACATTAGCTGTATAAAACTTTCTAATGTTAACCATATTCATAGGAGGATCTAATTAAATTAATAATCTTAATTCTACCAAAGTTAATTATTATGACCTGGGCTTCATGGAGCAACGTGGTCAAAATTCCGGCGAGAATCAGCGGAAGGAGTTTGGCCATCTTGACCTTCCCGACCTGGGGAGACATGAGACTATGATTATTATTTAAGATATTAGAAGGATTATAATTGATTATACTTGCAGAGGTGGGCAGTAGCGCGCTACATGTAGCGGTAGCGGCGCTACATTTAAGGCAATGTTGCGGTAGCGGTAGCGCCCGCTACATATTTAAGTAGCGATGCGAGGTTTTGCCGCTACATCGCTACCGCTACATTTATTGATAAAGCCTTTAAGATTTTACTTAATAGTATTAAATATTATTTAAAAACCAGCATGATACATACATAATATAAGTTACAGAATAAAACTGTACGAAAGATATCGGTGTAATGTTGTCAACCTCAGCCTGTTACTATTGTCAACATGTTAGTTGTTACTTGTTAAGTTGTTACCAGTTACCACTTACAGGTATTTTTTCATGTTTCAGTTTGCTTCCAGTTATTTTTACGCAGTTATTTTTATGTTTCACCTTCCCTTCATGGATGTCTACTTTAATTTACCAATCTCAAAAATAATCCACATATATAACAAATAAAAGACTGATTTACATATGTATATGTGGATAATTTTTGAGATTGATATATTGAAGCAGACATCCATGTATTGAAGGTAAAACATAAAAATAACTAACTTTTATTTACTGATTCTAACCCGTACTAGTTCGGTTAGGTTAATTGCAATAAAGTTGCATTGATATGTTTTGAAAATGTTTTATTATCGTTAAATGTTTATGAGTAAATCCCAATAGCAGAACAATAAATATTTAGAGATTTCCAATAATTTTGGCCATTGTAGCGGCTAATGTAGCGGCGCTACATTTTGCTGTAGCGGTAGCGCTCGCTACAATCTAGTGGGTGTAGCGGGAGCGGTAGGCCCGCTACATTTAGAGCATGTAGCGGTAGCGGTAGCGGCCGCTACATTTCAAAGTAGCGTTGCCCAGCTCTGCCTCCAGAGTTTAAGAGGTACTTGGACAAGTGCTGTAGCGAGCCAACCTTGGCAGCGCTTTAAACGCTGTTAGTTTTCTTCAGCCGCCGCACCTCTCTGACAGACTGAAGAGAAAAAGTGTGCGTAGCTAGTTTTCTACTTTTTCTTATGATTAGTTGACGTTTTTCAATTAGTTATTTAAGGTAAAAGAACCTTTCCTAACTGGACCTAACCTTAGTAAAATTGTAAAATAGTGTCTAAAGAAACATTTTT